CCGCCTCTTCGACCTGTTTGTTTCCTCTCCACCTATCCTCTCCTCTATCCCTCTTCTATCCGCCTCCCACTCTCTCCCTATTTATTTCAAAACCCCCTTCCCCTCCCCCTTTTCTGATGAAGGGTCTAGGCCCGAAACGTCAGTCTCTCTGCTCCTATGATGCTGCTTGGCCTGCTGTGTTCATCCAGCCCTGCACCTTGTTGTCTCGGATTCTCCAGCATCTGCAGTTCCTACTATCTCTGATTCAACATTGATAAGTGTTGATTATCCACTTTGGAAGGAAAAACAGAAAGGCAGATTATTATTTATATAATAATAGACTGGGAAATGTTGAGGTCGAAAGTGCCCTTACATCAATCATTGAAAGCAAGCATGCAGGTGCAGCAGCAGTTAAAAAATGCAAATAGTATGCTAGCCTTCATTGCAAGATGGTTTGAGTACAAGAGTGAGGATGTCTTGCTGCAGCTCGGAGATGACCTCTGGAGTGTAGTTTGCAGTTTTGGCCTCTTTGCCTAAGAAAGGATCTCGACTCATTCCTATAATGGTAGGCTTATCATATGAAGAGAGCTTGGGTCCGTTAGTCCTGTATTCACTGGACTTCAGAAGAAGAGAAGAGGTCTCATTGAACTGTATAAAATTCTGACTGGACTGGACAGACCGGATTCAAGGATCTTGTAACACCAGGCTGAAGGGTCTAGAACAAGGGGTCACAGTCTCAGGATACAGACTAGGCTATTTCAGAATGAGATGAAGATAAACTTCTTCACTTAGGATGGTGCACCTGTGGTATTGACATAAGACTGTGGAGCCCCAGCCGGTCCCGACCCGAAACGTCAGCTTTCCTGCTCCTCTGATGCTGCCTGGCCTGCTGTGTTCCTCCAGGTCCGCACTGTGTTATATCAGAGCCCCAGTCGCCGAATATTTAAGAAACAAGTAGATAGATTTCTAGACACTAAAAGCATCGAGAGTATTGGGAGAGTGTGGGAGTATGGCACTGAAATAGAGGATCAGCCATGGCCATATTGAATGATGGACTAGGTTCAATGAGCCAAATGGCCTATTCATACACTCCATTTTGTATGATTCTACACAGTACACTTTTTTGCGTAGCTGGAAGGTTTCAGCTACATTGGCCACAGGTGCACTGGAATTGCTTCCTGAGTTTCAAAGAGAGGGTAAAAAAGAATCAATTTTCTTCACCCTATTAGCTCCAAATCCAACACTCACCAGGAATAAGAACAAATGTAGTGACATTCATTGGCGCTGTTGTTCTGCCCTCTGGTATTTAATTGATTTACTGATACATATTACATTGGCTGATATAATGAATGGTGATATGAGTTGTGTACTGAAGGACAACTCTACTTCAGAATCTTTTCTCAGTAAGCACCTTCCAGAGAAAGGACAGCAAGTGGATGGAGAAAAAAAATATACATGCCATAAGTACTTGACTCTGTCACTGACTGCACTAACCAGCAAGCTATTCCTAAATCCAGTTTTGCATTTCTCATCAGCATTCGGTCCTGGTCAGGTTAGTTATGGTCAGTTGACAAGCTTTAAACTAGAAAAATGGATCATATCAAGGAGTTTGAACTGGTGGAGAAATGGAAAAGAAATTGGTTCTTTCAGACGTTATAACAATCAGATTGTCATCTTAAACATTATTGTACATTTTACTGGGCTTTAATTAAAATCTGTAAAATGCTGTTCGCCCAGCTGGATGCCCTGTGGTGTCCTGTAAGCCACACATCTTTAATCCCAGCAGAATGGGCAATACTATAATTTGTCTTGGTTTTTCTAAGAAAATATTGTCAAACTACACAAGCTCCCAACCAGCATTCCATTTCTGATTGCAGCCTTCCATGCTTTGTGGAAATCAAGTGAGAATAGCTTCAGCCCTGATTGACTATTTGGTGAGGTGTTACAAGATACTAATGCCCATGGAAACATTCCCCAACTTGAATTGATACCTCCAAGAGAAATGGGGTAGGAAATCTCAATGTTCAACTCTACTGAACCTGAACATATCTTTTCTCAGAGCCAAGATGGTGCTATCCGTTGAGTGTAGAAAATGGTGACGTAGAATGTCGCTCACCAAGGGGTGCAAACTACAGAAGCACACTTGGAACACGATGTCGAATACTTTGTGATAGAGGATACCGGTTGCTAGGCCGAAGGCATGTCGAATGTACAGTGACCAGGTACTGGTCTGGTATAAGCCGATGTAAAGGTGGGTCTCTGGAAAAAAATAGTTACCTTAAACCTGAGTTATCATCAAGATCATTAGTGAGTAAATTTTGCTGTAAAAAGTGCCTTTATGAATGCTTAGTGAGGGAAAGATCAGGCCCAGCTGCGTTGTCTAAGCTGAATGAACTGCTGATATTCTCCTGGGAGTACCCGCAGTTGAAAGTACATGTTTGGGTGAAGTAGTGGACAGTGACCAGCTGCTTTGGAACCAAACCCAGTATCATTAAATTCCTTCAGAATTGTGGAAAATGGAAAGAACTAAGAATCTGGTGTTAATTAACTTATGCTTACTGATTGCTTGTCCACTGTCTATAAAGCCATAAGAAAGGCTTCTATCATTTTGGATTGTATGAACAAAAGTGTGACGTATAGGGGTTAAACAATGCTCAAAATGTACAACAAATTGGATGGGTGGCAATTAAAGTGTTGGGTGGAGGTGGAAAAATACAATTCTGAGCAAAGAAACCAGATTTTACATCAAGTTGTTACAGCACAGAATGTTTTTCCATTTGGAGCGATGGAGACAGAGACCACTGAGTGTATCAAGGGGTAACTGGACCATTAATTGAAACAATGCCAGATGCAGAGCTGCTTGGGGAATGTGACATAGGGAATAATTTTGTGTAAGTCGAGCAAAGCAAGATCATGGACACAATCCCTTGCTGTAATGGAGCAGGCTGTAATGGGGGCACTAAATGGCCTGCTTCAGTTACCATGAAAACATTTTGTAGTTTTTTTTTATAGTGGCCAAATATTGTCTCTGCACACAAGAGAAAAATTCCCCAAAACATTTGCAAGTCTGGGAGTGTTCAGTCTTTATTTGCACATGTTTTATGTGTTCCTTCTGTTTATGAAAACCGTTCTCTCACATTAGTTACAGTGAATGATAAATTTGCATCTGGCTGCCTTTAATTGGTACAAGTTTTTATGAAATTTTCCCTTGCTCTTGCCTACATCTTTTTGTTAAAGTTGAAACTTACTACCATTCGCCCCTTGCACTTCATGATCTCTGACTTGTATTACTTGGGAGAAACATTGAGAAATATTCTTTCGTTTTGTTCATTGTCTTACAAAATGAGACAAGAATATAATTTGATTTGCACATTATTGCATAATCTTTGGATGATTCTCAAAACTGCAATTTGAAACTTCCTCAATGCAAGCTCCAGTGCAGCAGAACAATAGAGGCCATTCACTACGGCCAGACAGTGTGAATATGTTCCAGGAGCAATTTGATGGTGTAAGGAAAAATTCGAGAATACAAACGCTGCGCAACAGTGGGGAGAATTTTTTGTGCTATTTTTGTTTGCAATGGAACTAATAAATTTAACCATTACACATCTACATAGAAAACCGGTGAAGCCTTATCACAATCTGTATTGATCTGTGAATATGTATAATGAAAAGTTATAATATACCATGTGACGATAACTTAATGACAGAAAATTCTAATCTGTCATTGTTTATAAGGACAAATGTAACGTTTCACTAAAAACACTTCAGAAATGAAATGGCTTCATACTAGCTTGCATCTATCACTGCCCATTGGACACAATGGAAAGGTATAGTGAAAGAATCCAAATTCTTCAACTGTGATGTTACAACGCCTCAGTTACCATTATATTAACTATGCTGGCCCTTCAATATCATGATCTTGTACTACTGAGATAAACACCCTTTTGGAGAGGATATCAGATATTTGAGGTATACATGTATTCCAACATCAATTTTAATAGCTTCAAAATATGATCAATTTTAAATTTATTATTGAGACCCATGACACAGAACATCAACGAATTTTTTAAAATATTGCAAATCAAGCAATCCATTGGTTAGTAATAACAGTCTTGATTTGAAAGGTTGTTACATTTCTGTAATTATGAAAGTGGGTTCATGACTAATTGTATGTAGGATTAAATTAGCATTCAGCTAGCAGGATTTCCAGGGCTATCTCTGTTGATATTTTATTTCCTACATGCTTAGTTTCTTTTCCTCATGGTTTTTCTTGTATTCTTCATTCTTGGGAGGTGTCAGTTAAATCCAGTATTTATTGCCCACACTAATAATCCTTGAGAAGATGATAGTGAATTGTCCATCTGGTGTAGATATATCCACAATGCTGTTAGGAAGGTAGTTTCAGAATTTTAAGGGAAATGCAATTTAATTCCAAGTCTGGATGGTGTGTGGCTTTGAGGGGAGCTTACAGGTGGTGGTGTTCTCATGAATCTGTTGTGCATACCTTCCTAGGTGGTGGAGATTGATGTTTTGGAAGATACTGTTGAAGGGCCCTGGTAGAGTTACTGCAGTGCATCTTGTAGGTGAAACACACTGGTGTCACTCTGCATTAGTGTTGGAAGGAGACAACACAGTATGGAGCTGGACAAACACAGCAGGCCAGACAGCAGCAGAGGAGCAGGAACGTTGACATTTCGGGTCAGGACCCTTCTTCAGAAATGGGAAGAGACAATGGAGCTGAGAAATAAATAGAGGAGGGATGGCACCTTCCCCAGTCCCACCCCTCCTCTCTATTTATTTCCCAGCTCCCTCCCCAGGAGGTACGGCAGGTAGTTACTGATCAGTTTGGGATGATGTGGTAAGAAATTTTGCCGTGTCTCACAGAGAAACCCTCTATGAAACTTGACTCAATTAACACTTAGCCAAAATATGACAATATTCAGCCCAAGGGAATTCCCATATCTCAATGACTATGACCCAATCCCTGATCAACTTGGAAGGATGGTCCTTACTAATGAGTAACTAGTCCCCTGACTGATATCCATGCAGTTCCCTTACTAACATATTGCTAATTTCCTTACCGATTGCATTGGATTAGCAGTATTCAATATGACCCTCTCTATAGGTGGTAATAAAATGAAACCTGTGACCCTGACTACCCTGAAAGGCCAACTGACCATGTCCAAGTCCCTGGACTGAGATCACATGCTGCCCTTGATTGACTGTGACAGGATCCTGGATTTGACCAAGGAGTATTCCATTGAAGACTTTGAGGCATCACCAATTGGTTGAAGCACATGTGTAAGCTGCGGAGACACAATGCAGCATGATATCGCACAGAAACTTGTCCACTCCCATCACTGATCTCTGCTGATGACCATTACAAACTGCCTTTCTACAATGAAAGATGCCAGTGCACCCCAAAGTATATCATTAAAGTGGTTCACTGTATTTATGGTGAGTCAGAGCCATGATGATATAATGAGGGTAGTGTGTCCCTGCTGCCAGCCTCTATAGAAAAGGTGTTTGGGTAGTCACCACCAATGGAGCGTACCCTGAGATGGCAGGCACTGTTGACCAAAATGGAAATTCTGAGGAGCAAGTGGCAAATGGGAGCTGCCAGGTACCTGCTCAGACTTCCATGTTAGGAATTGTCACAGTCTAGTTTCTGGGCAGTATGTGCAAGGATAACAAACTGTATATAAATAAGGCAAGAATAAGATAATAATGAGAAGTTAGTGCATGCAAACTAGCCCATCTGCCACTCACTAATGAGTTATTTGTCTCACTATTCAAACCTTGCATGGAAAATTGGACATTTTCCCCCTGACATAGAGAATCTCATTTTTCTAATCTTGCCATACTTTCCCAATAGACTTACCATTGCCCACCTCATTCAAAGGCTGGGAACATTAAATCCTAGCGTCAAACATGGCACTTATTTCTTTCCATCCCTGATTTGACATCTCCATCTTTTACTTCCTATAGTGTTGTGCTCACAAAACTAATCTGTCTTGTATTTGAAAATATTCTAACTAATATATGTGCTTCATTCTGTTTTGAGCTTTTGTTTCATAGCATTTTTTTTCTACTTCAATTAATTATTCCTGTGTGCTGCAGAAACCTAAATCCTCTGGTTTCTTGGTGGCTTGCTTGAAAATATGATTCTGCACTATACTAGCTATACTCAATGAGGTTTCCAAGTTTCTTTGAAACTGAAAGGTCTACCTTCATGTGCAGGCTTGTTTGCCCCACCTGATACAGGAGTGGTGATGCTCTATGTTTCTGCAGCGGCCTAAATGTTTATACTGATTATAACCTGATAAGTGCAACTCAGCAATTTTAAAATGGGTTTCCAGGAGCAGGATTTGTGGAGTAAACTGTGCACAATTGCTAAATTAATAACTTTAGGTTACCAGTTCCTTTACCCCAAGATCTTATTAGGTTTTTTGATAACATTACTGATAAGTAGAAGCATCAATAATGATTTAAATTTTTTTGGCATTTCCTGAATCAAGCAAGGATTGTTCATAAATGTTAAGTATTGATATAAACGATTTCTCACCTGTGTTGACATTGTAGGCAGAATGAACAGGATAAGAAATCCCTCAAATTCGTCAACCTGGTATGTGATTGAGTTAAATTTATGTACAGTTTAAGTGGAATATATTATGACTCTCAGCATGAGTGTTAATGATCCAATTAATAATGACTGTTTCCTTCTCAGAGGTGCGTTGTTATTCACTTCCTGCATTTCCATATGGATCATATGTGTGCTCCAAGGGGACACGCGTGGATTCCCAGTGTGAATACATATGTGAGCAAGGATACCAACTGGAAGGAGATAGAATGAGAGTGTGCCTGGAGAATGGCCAGTGGAGTGGAAGTGAACCTATGTGTGTTGGTAAATTGGACTGTAATCCATTTAGCTTTGTACTTATTAAATCTTATTAAATCCTTGAACCTTTGGAAAAAAAAGAAATGAGTTTTAATTTCAGTTTGGATCATCTAACCTTATGCTTCAGACAATGTTCCTTAACACTCTACCTTACACAAATATTTTAGTTCGAAGTCTGTAATGAAAATGTTGTTGTCAAAAGATACCAAAAATCCAGTGAGGTTTCTCAGTGTTGGTGTTTTATTTTCACCATAGAAATCTCTGCAACCATATTGTATGTTTTCAGTATTTCCTCCTTGCATTTGGAGCTTCTTACTGGTATTACTTCTGTGAAAATTGTTGCTAATGTTAGCAGTTGAATGCTTAAACTACTTGCATGGTATTTCTTGGCTGCTATTTTATGACAGGTGTTACCCTATTTCAAATAATTGATTAACCTTTCTATTAAAATAATTAGTGCACTCAGTAATATGGCTAAGAGTAACTTCTAACATTTTTTTCTTAGTTTAAACAGGTTTTGCACCTGTGCTAGCTGAGGTGAGGGATCCGATTGTGGATCTTTTAATTAACCGGCACCAGCATCAAATTAAAACGTTTCCTCAATTTTAGCATTCATTAATGTACTGGTGCAAATGTTCCTATCATTTGTGTACCCTTTTAGAATGTGCATGTTCCTGTCTCCATTGGGAATTAGGTTGAAATTGGCTAAGGCAATGGAATGTCTCATGGTCTCAGCAGGGCTGAAGTAGAATCCACCAAGAGCAGAGAGAACCTGTTGAGACAGCAGGGACTTTTAACCATTACTTCAAGTTGGCTTCACCAGAAAGCCTAGAGATTACATAAATTTATGTATTAGAAACAAAATTGACTTCGTGTTCTCAGGCCAGGATGTATATATCTTAAAAATATTTTACAGGGAACCTAATTGAACTACATATATCCAAAGTTACCTGGCTTGATCCATGGTATGTGCTCACTTGGTGTTCTCTGCGATATAAAGATGGAGCTGTTGCAATTAATTAACATTAGCGCTCCAGAGCTAGTGAAGCAAAGAGTCAGCTGAGCTTTATATACCTGATGACTATTCATAAACTTTGTTCTAAATGTGTTTATAGAATCTTGTCAGCTGAGAACAGTATCAATGCTGCTTCTGATTCTCCCCTCTATCCACACATTATTCATAGCCAAAGACCACGCATGGGAATTAAACACATGGGCGTGCAACTCTAGAACAGCTGTTAACTTTAAAACAATATCCCAGCAACAGGACAGTTGGGATTCAAGGACACAATTGGAATGTAAAACAATACTAATTGACAATTTCTTGATTTTAATAGATTATGAACCTCCAAGGATAAAATGCCCAGGGTCCAGGGAGAAGGTGGCTGAACCGGGGCAGCTGACTACACGTGTATATTGGGACTCACCGCGCATAAAAGATGTAGCTGATAAACACAGTACTAAGTTAGTGTGAAACATCAGATCTCTGCTTTTCATTTTATTTTTATAACTATTTGATCTTGGGGAGACAAACTCTCGTGTCCTGTTCAGGTCAACGAAAATGGAAGTAATTGGAACCAAATAAGCAATGGCATCAAGGCAGGAACTGTATAGGAGGGAGATGGGAGGGAATAGGAGAGGAAGAGGGGCTAAGGACGGTGAGGTAAAGTGAATTGGAGGAGAGAGAGAAAGGGAGGGGGAGATTAGGATGAAGAGGATAGTTACTGATAGGGGCATACAGTAGTAGCTTCCTGGATCCAAGGGGAGGCAATGGCCTAGGGGTATTATTGCTGGACTGTTAATCCAGAGACCCAGGTAACGTTCTGGGGATCCAGGTTTGAATCCTGCCACAGCAGATGTTGGAATTTGAATTCCATAAATATCTGGAATTAAGAGTCTAATAATGACCATGCATCTATTGCCGATTGTTGGAACGGCCCATCTGGTTCAGTACTGTCCTTTAGGGAAGGAAACTGCCATCTTTACCCAGTCTGCATGTGACTCCAGACCCACAATGATATGGTTGACTCTGAACTGCCCCCTGGGCAATTAGGGATGGGTAATAAATGCTGGCCTGGCCAGCGATCCCCTGATCCCGTGAATGAATTTAAAAATAATTTAGAATCTCTGGAGGACGGCTGAGCATTGAATTAGCAACATTGCTCAGTGAAGTGATATGGATTTTCTGCAAGGGGTCAAGGGTAAACGAAGGGAAAATCTTCCAGCAGAATTGGGTGGAAGCATGTGTAGGAGAACATTTGATAATCTCACAGGTTTTTAATTACATTTTAGATAAGCATGTGTATATGTTATTTATCTCCTTTGTTATCTATTCAAAATATTTACTAGCTGTGGCCAAGGCTGCCCCGTGGTGACATCTTGTGGTCAGAGACCATGTTTGCATGCAGACCCGATCTGCGTTTCTACGTTAAGTATTATCATGCCACAAAAGGTGGTTTAAATAACTGCTTCCATTTAATATTGAATGCTGCTATAAATGCAGCAGCACAAATACTTAAATGGTATTTCATTGCTTTCAAACATCAATGCGTTACAGCTGGCAAAATTTACTTTTCTCGGGACTGGGAGTACTAATGCCAGTTGTACTTCCCTGCTCCTGGCTGCAGATTAAACTTCCCAGGATTTGGTAATCTGGTGTGTCGCACGTCCATCCTAACAGCTGCAGCATTTGAACATAAAAACATCACATTAGATTCTGTGTTCCTTCACTGGTGAGTTTGAAGGCACAGGGCATGTAAAATCCAGTGGATGATCTCCCTGCCACATACCATGTGCTCTGACCTGCCAGTAATCAAACATAGGGAAGAGGCATCAGGCTGCCTACTTGCCCTTAGGCTTGTTTGAGCCTCTTATGGTGCCAATTAATCACCACGTAAAGATCTCATCTGCCCTCCTGGCATTTACCCATTTTGATGGAAGGCCCAAGCAATTTGGGAAATTTGGAAGGGTTAGCGTGTGGGCTGGTATCAGGGGTGACCAAGTCCTCAGGGACCATTGGAGGTTCTCGCCCAATCTGACATCCCCTTTAAGGTTACCCCCTCACGACATCTTGAACCTGGCACTACACCTTCTCTCCTTTGCTGAGACCCCAAGTGCAGACTTACCTGGGCTCCTCCTGTGGTGGGACTGCCCGTAGTGCCAGCTGTAGTCACTGTTTGGTGCTATGAGGATGGAGAGCTGTCCATCATCCGATTGGCTGGCAACATTCTAAGGCAGGAGATCGTCTTGAGAGACGTAGGTTCTCCGTAAAGCAATTAATGTTGCTCCTAGCATTAAATTATGGTGGGGAAGGCATCTAAAGCATGAGCAAGCTCTCTCCAACAGTTTAGCTGGGATGGTTGGGGGTAGAAGATTGGGAACCTGTAAAATCTAACCCAGGATATCTAGTACCAATCCAGCAACTTGGCAAGATAATGCAGCTATGATTTACATCTGATATAGTAGGAACTGCCGATGCTGGAGAACCTGAGATAACAAGGTGTAGAGCTGGATGAACACAGTAGGCCAAGCAGCATCAGAAGAAGGGTCTCGACCCGAAACGTCAGCTTTCCTGCTCCTCTGATGCTGCTTGGCCTGCTGTGTTCATCCAGCTGTACACCTTTTTATCTATGATTTACATCTTATGCTTTGATGCTGTGAGCATATAAATTTACAGAATTCTTCAGCAGTGATTTGTCAAATATTCAGATCTGACTGTCAGATAATAAACCTCTCCTGTCTCCTGATGTTCTTTCACAGAATAGTTCTGAGAGGACCACCCTCAGGTTCTGAATTTGGAAAGGGGGAACATATTATTCGCTATGTGGCGTATGACAGAGAGAGGAACAAAGCCTCCTGCAAGTTTACTGTCACAGTTCATGGTGGGTCACCTACCACATAGCTTGCATCTTTTCTGTTTAACACCTTCAGAGATGTATGATAGCATGGTACCAACAGTTAAAATGACATTCATATGAATTGTTCAGTTCAAATAAACCATCAGAGAAACAACCATTTGGAATAAGAAATATAAAATGATTTCAATGAATAATAAGAAAGAAATGTGAGTGGCTGAGCTTTTGTGTAAGTAATGAAAATAGATTGGAAGACAGGAAAAGCATTAAATAAGTGAAAATAAGTTAGAAATGTTGTCAAGTAATGGAGGTCAGGGAAAGCTGAAACTCCACTGCCTCAGTTCACTGGCACAAATGAAATGGAACAGGACTCTTAATCACTCAATTTCCATCCCCACAGATCCATATCTCAAACCTTGGGCTTTGGGTAATTTACCTGGTAGGAATATCTTTAGAAGCTTGAGGCATACAAGGACTGAGTATCACTAGTTCAATATTTACTCCCATAAATTAGAGCTGAGCTCTGTCTACTTCTATCAGTACCAAACCCCATGTGATTTTATATCATCATGACACACCTGCCCATGTACTTGCTCAGCAGCTATTATCACAGTATTGACACAGTTAAGCCCTGTATTCTATAATTCTCCCATCCCACCCCCACAAACCCAAGTGGTTAAATTCCCAAGGATAGGTGGAACACTTACAGACACAAAACAAAGTTGTGGAGGGCAGTAGGTGGAAAACGTATTTCTGAGGTTTATACCGATGAAGTAAAGCCATTGTTTTTGAGTAAGGAACTGCTTTCTGATGGATGAAGCTTGAATATAAGTAAGATTAGGGTTCAAGGTTAGTGCATTTCAGTTTGGAGATATTTTGAAGCAGTTATTTGTGTGATATTTAGGAAATTTATTGTCATAAATGGTAGAAGCCCATGTTATCCCTCCAATTTTGTTTGCCTTTTGTCTCTGTGCTCGCACTGCATTGGGACTACACAGACTTTGGTTGTTGTACAAATTCTCACTCAAGAGGCTATTCCTCATATGTGAACCTACGCAGAGGTGACAGCAGGATAGTTTGATCAATAAGGCTGTCACTAGTCCTAATCCTGCACTCACCTGATGTCCACACGATTTACATTCAGCATACATCAATCAGCAACAATCTGGAGTCAAAAGCCTTTTTAATTCCAGCACTGGGTATTTGGGCCAATTGTAGTGACCACTTAACTGCCTTGGAAGGCATTAGGTAGTTTATTGTAGATAATCATCATCTCATGTATGGCTTAGTAGAACATGACAGGATATTTATCCACTACGCCATTAGGTCGCCTTACTGTGCAGTGAAGTTAATATAAAGTTGGAAATTATTGACTATTTCAGAGGATGAATTCTTAACCTGTTTGTATGATAGCCTCTTGTTTAAATGAACTTGTTAATGCTTCTGAAGATATGTTAGAGGAATGTCATAAAGCTAAGAATTTGACCATAACATTGCCAACAACAATCCCTCTATTTGAATAAATAGCTTACTCTTTTTTTATTATTGTGGAGTGAATGAGACCTGTGGGAGATCCTACTGCAGTATTCAAGATAATTGCACTCTAGTGATGTATATGATATGATTACCAAGTTTATAATAAGGGGACATGATTTCAGGCTGAGAATAGCAGGCTGTTTGGATTTGACTGTTTAACTGTGGGTGGTAAATAATGGGACAGCTGCCAGGCAGCGAATGGAGGCAAATAGTCTTCTAGAGATATTAGAGAGTCCAAGAGGCAATTACTAAAAATTTAGGTCAAACAGATCCCAATTCTTTATATCCATTTAACTCTATTATTTGTCGGTGTTCCTCTCTCTACAATTTGAATAGTGATCACAGATCACAGTGGTCACAGATGATTGAGCTTTAAAACCAAAATCTCTCCTGTTCTCATGACTTGTTTACAAGCAGATTGTGATTTTGTATTTCCCCCTTTGTTTTTTCATAAAAGAGAAAATAGCGGAATATTTCCCCTACTTCCTTTGTTTGTGAGCTCTGACTTTGCAAGAACTGTAGCTGCACTATGATAGTTAAGTTTCAGAAGTAGGGTTATTTCACACACTCTTGGACCCTGGGGTGGCAGATGTTGGGTAATACTTCACAATGTAGGCTCTGATACAAACATTCAAGGAGAGAGGTAATAGAACAAAAATATTCCATTAGTGAAAATTTAAGTATGAATAACAATTTCTTTGCTTTTTAAGATCGAGTCCAACAGGCTAAAATTAGTGTCAGTAATCCAGAATGCTTCTTGGGGATGGTTGGTTGGCTAGCCAGAAGCTTGGTAGTTGTAGGAAATTTCTTCTCCTCAAAAATCTTAAGAATTTCTTTTCAGGGTGTAACGTGTTGATGAAAGAAAATTTTACTTGCAGATGTCAAATCCGAATTGTTAGTTGTTTTTTTTTTATTTCTTATACAGATTAGAGGCTTTTTCATTGTAGCTTACAGTAAGGGGCATTGAATGAGTAGATGTGAATGGAGTAGCTCTCATCTCTTACCTGACTGCTTTTTTTCTTTCAAAATTGTGAATTCAAAAACAGTTGGTTCAATACTGTGGAAGTCATGTGAGCAAACTTCTTTGTGCAGGGAGGAGAAACAGTTACAAAAGTTTGCATTGCTACTCCAAGGGTTAAGTGGAAAGTCACTAACACTATTCCATTATGTAAAGGTTTCTCATGGACACAATCATTCCTGTATCAGATTATAACACAGTAGTGAGTGTTCTGGACCCATTAGGACAGATGTAGGTGTTAATTAGTTGTCATTGACTTGAGGGGGTTCCAGAAGGTTATTGCCACGTGATTATAAAAGTGGATTCTTCACTCTGTCTGAAAAACAGTCTCGAAATATGTAGCTATGCATCAACATTTTTTCCTCTCTGTTCCTGACATTACCAGTTAGAAGATGCCCTGTCCTGAAGCCGCCTGTCCATGGTTACATCACTTGTACATCGGCTGGTAATAACTATGGGGCAACCTGTACTTACACATGTGAGGGAGGCTATGAGCGACAGGGAATCTCCAAAAGGGTGTGTCTGTTCAATCGAAGCTGGTCTGGAGTGGCGCCATCTTGTGTACGTAAGTGAATTAAGTTGAATATTGGGAATGTGGCACTGTAATCTTCTCCATGGGAAATGAGCATTCAGATCTGTATGATGCTGGTGCTGCTGCCGCATCTTGCTTTGTAAATGGGATAAATGGGACTGTATCGCTCACATATTTAGTGTAGATAATCTGAGTTCTGTTTACAGCACAACAATCAGTAGCCATCTCAAAAACAAATGTTGTTGCTAATGTTAAACTTTGATTACTCATCAATATTATGGCTGTTATCAGTTAAACATGCGACATTATGTACTCCTGGGTGTGTTTATGGGGTTGGGCATGACAGGGTTGATGGTAGATTGCCACTTTCCTATCTGCTCCCTGTTGACTCCCACAATAAAGGGAATGAGTGACCTCTAAACTTGGAAGCCCATATAAATGCATAACTAACAGTCAATTAAAACCATAATGCAGTTGGTGTGGATAGCTGAACAGAAGTGGGTAACTCTCTTTTTACCAAAGTATATCAAGAGAAAGAGAAGGAACTTGGTTACTACCCTCAGGAAGACTCTTACACATGGGACACATAGGGGAAATCCATCCTGGAAGATAGTCCCACTTCCTTCCTTTTGTTTAAAGTATACTCCAAAAACTCTCCCACTGTCCTCTGTGCCTTCCACCCTGCCACCCACTATCCTTGGGTAAAACACAGATGCATTCAGTCTTCTTTGTGGGCCTGTCTGTGGCTATAGCTCGAAGATCTGAGTCTGACATCTGAGTTTGTTGTCTGATAGAAAGCAGTTTGCATTCTTCACAAATGCAACTATTTTAGCTACTGTCAGCTAATGTCCTTTTCTTTGAAAAGTGTCTTGCCAAAAATTACATGATCTATATCTGGCTGATGGCAAATTAATATTTCAGATATTACATCTTCATAACAAAGTGAACAGCTTTGGTTTCTACAAATTTGTATTTGCATTGTAATGATTCCAACCAAAACCTTCCCTGAATTATCAAAGACAAGAGAAAATATAAAATGTACCCATGTCCTGAAGCAAAACAATAATCCAAATGCTGTTGGAGGAAGGCCTGCGAGATCAAAGAGGTACAAAGAACGCATAAATTATACTGAAAAAATGTTTCAGAATAAAACATTAACAACAAGTAGGAATTGACCAAGAGAAGAGGAAGCTATAAATTGTGAGTGGAATTGGTACGGGGTTGACCTCTGGAACACAGATACCAACTGAAGGCCAGGCACTTTCCCACAAGGTGAGAGAGAAGTGCTGTTTTGCTTTTCACCTTAGACATGTATTGCTTTCTCATTTGCAATTGACAATTCAAGGGAGGTAGAAAGATATATATTTCAATCAATCAATGCAAAGTGTGGTAACTATAGATGGGTAACATCAATGGCCTTTCGCTATCAGCATATGAAGAAACCTTGTTGGTGTGCTCTTGGTCGTTTGTTGCTGAGTCTTCACAATCGTGTGAACTTGATGAATTTAGCATAAGTAATGTCAGCACAAAGCTGCTATGTTGCATAACTGGACATCAGTTAGGGAGTACTTTGGCCCCTTCTTCACTCCCCTCCAATGGCTGTATCTCTATATGCAGGCTACCAAGTAGGTTTTCTGTAAAGAGAAACATGTCATGTATGCAATGTGATGGTAACACCTTTCTCTTATATAATTGCAGTAATCGAAATTAACGTTGACGTGAATTCAGTGGCTGCTCTCATGGACCAGTTTTATGAGATGCAGCGTCTCTTCATCATATCCTCTCCAAGTCCATCTGATATGTACTACAACCTACAAATAAGCATGCTACAGGTTCGTAAATAGGATCTGGTAGTCAATACTGATGAGCAGAGGTAAAATCCTCAAATTATATTTCTGCCTATTTCTCACTGGCAACGGACCATCATAACAAGAATTTATGATGAATGGTAATATAGGAATTTGTCTCACTAGGATTTAAAATGGATTACTGCATTCATTCATCATTTTGATCATCGATAAATTGAGACTTTTCTCAAATGAACAACTCACTGAACAACTTTTCACAAAGAGATGTCTAGGAAATTTTGTGACAGTTGAAAGGAAGAAGCCACTTTGGATTTGGTGCTTGGCAATGAACCAGGCCAAGTGTTAGACCTGTTGGTAGGAGAGCATTTTGGCGGTAGCGATCATAACTCGGTTACTTTTACAATTGTCATGGAAAAGGATAGGTACATACAGTAGGGTAAGGTTTATAATTGGGGGAAGGGTAATTATAATTCTGTTAGGCAAGAACTGGATAACATAAATTGGGAACAGATGCTGTCAGGGAAGAGCACTATAGTAAAGTGGAGATTGTTTAAGGAATGCATACCGCGTGTGCTCAATATGTTTGTCCCTAGCAGGCAGGGAAGATGCAGTCGAGTGAGGGAGCTTTGGTTCTCAAGAGAGTTCAAATGACTGGTTAAGAGGAAGGAGGATGCTTATATTTAGGAAACAAGGATCGGAAAAGTCTCTAGAGGGATACAAGTTAGCCAGGAAGGAGCTAAAGAAAGGGCTTAAGAGAGCTAGAAGGGGGCATGAGAAAACCTTGACAGATATGATCAAGGAAAACTCCAAGGCTTTTTACAGGTACGTGAGGAATAAGAGAATGACCAGAGAAAGGGTAGGGCCGATCAAGGATTGTAAAGGGAATTTGTGCACGGAGCCTAAAGAGATAGGAGAGGTCCTTAATGAATATTTTTCTTCGGTATTCACAACTGAGAGGGACCTAGTTATAGGGGAGGACAGTGTGAAACAGGCTGGTAGGCTAGTGGAGGTAGATGTTAGGAAGATGTACTAGCAATTTTGAGGGACTTGAAGATAGATAAGTTCCCCGGGCCTGATGGGATTTATCCAAGGATTCTATGGGAAGCAAGGGAAGAGATCGCAGGGCCTTTGGCGATGATCTTTTCACTATCCACGGATATAGTGCCGGAAGATTGGAGAGAGGCAAACATCATTCCCTTGTTCAAAAAAGGGAACAGGGATAATACTGGAAATTACAGGCTAGTTAGTCTTACTTCAGTGTTGGGCAAGTTATTGGAAAGGGCTCTGAGAGATAGGATTTATGATCACTTGGATAGGCACAGTTTGATTCGTGATAGTCAGCATGGATTTGTGAGGGGTAGATCATACCTCACAAACCTTATTGAATTCTTTGAATAAGTGACCAAACACATGGATGAAGGTAGAGCAGTGGATGTGGTATCCATGGATTTAAGTAGGGCGTTTGATAAGGTTCCCCATGGTAGGCTCATACACAAAGTAAGGAGGCATTGGATAGGGGGAAATGTCGCAGATTGGATTCAGAATTAGCTGACCCTTAGAAGACAAAAGGTGGTAGTGGACGGAAAATATTCAACATGGTGCTCAGTTAAGAGTGGTGTGCCACAAGGATCTGTTCTGGGTCCCCTTCTATTTGTGATTTTTGTAAATGATTTGGATGAAGGAGTGGAAGGGTGGATTAGTAAGTTCACGGACGATACGAAGGTAGGTCGAGTTGTGGATAGTGCATAGGGCTATTCTAGGTTACAGAGGGACATTGATAGGATGCAGAGCTGGGCTGAGAAGTGGCAGATGGAGTTTAACCCTGAAAAGTGTGAAGTGATTCATTTTAGAAGGACAAACTTGAAAGCAGAATACAGGGTTAACGGAAAGATTCTTGGCAGTGTGGAGGAGCAGAGGGATCTTGGGGTTCATGTTCACAGTTCCCTGAAAGCTGCCACCCAGGTGGATAGAGTTGTTAAGAAGGCGTATGGTGTGTTAGCTTTCATTAAAAGAGGGATTGAGTTCAAGAGCCGTGAAGTTATGCTCCAGCTATAGAAAACACTGGTTCAGCCACATCTGGAGTATTGTGTCCAGTTCTGGTCGCCTCATTACAGGAAAGATGTGGAAGCATTGGAAAAGGTGCAGAGGAGATTTACCAGGAATGTTGCCTGGAATGGACAGAAGGTCTTACAAGGAAAGGTTGAGAGAGCTAGAGCTTTTCTCTGTACAACGATGAAGGATGAGAGGTGACTTGATAGAGGTGTACAAAATGATCAGAGGTATAAATAGAGTGGACAGCCAGAGACTTTTTCCTCGGGTGGAGGTAGCTATTATGAGGGGCCATAGTTTTAAAGTGAGTGGAGGTAGATATAGGGGAGACATCAGAGGTAGGTTCTTTACTCAGAGAATGGTAGGGGCATGGAATGCATTGCTGGAGAGGGTAAGTGGAGTCGGCCTCCTTAGGGGCATTTAAGCAGCTATTAAATAGGCATATGGATGATAGCACAAGGTAGAGATGGAGATTAGATAGACCTTAGATTTAGGGCAAAAGTTCGGCACAACATCGTGGACCGAAGGGCTTGTACTGTGCTGTACTGTTCTATGTTCTATGAAGCCCCTTGCTGTCTATCTCATCACTGGTAAAATGTAACAAATGAGTACTCTAAGCCAAACTTTTTAAATGAACTTTTAGTCAAATATTGGCCCAGGTATCCTAGTAACCAGATAGTCATTGGAGCAGTACAAAATGGAGTTGCATGTTGGGACTCCGCAGAGTTCCACAAACAACAGACTCCAAGGGACTTGCTCGGGAAATTGAAGATTCTGATGGGCAATTCCCCTTCATCTAGAACTCTCTGAAACAAGAACACTTAGATTGGAGGGTTCACAAGGTTCTTCTTTCATTAAGTTAATTGTTACTCAGGAAAACTTAGACAATTGAAAATGTAATCCTACTTCTGTTAGCTGACCCCCTAACTTAACTTATCCCCTCCCCAAACTATGCATTGCATGACCCCTTACATCTCTTGGACCCCTGAAAACCATTCCCCCCTCCCCAACCCAAACTTTTTCCATCACCCCACCCAGCAGTGACAAATCAGGAGGGGTGTAGGAGGCAGTGCCCTTGGTAAAAGATGTAGGAAGAGGAATTTTCTAGGAAGTAATGGATCATGACATTAGAGTCCGAACCCTCACCAGGCATCATGCACTTACGGAGGATTCTATTTGAGCTGTAGTAACTATTAAGGCATGAATCTCAAGTACAGAAATTTCCAAATACTTGACAAGTGACAGATTCCAGCTTGGATTGGAGCTGCAGCAATAAGTGATGATAATGAGGGAAGGGAGCTTGAGCAGTTGCATTGGAGCCTCCAGCTGTTGTCAACATTGAGGGAGATCACTGGGAATGGTAGCTGGGATAGTTGAACTGACCCCAAAAGACACAATTCCCTTTAGAGGTTAAGAAGGCCTGATGGGAATGAGGAAACACTCAAAGGATTTCCTTAATGAAATCTAAACCATAGGCTTTATTCCATGTAAATTTTTAAATCTTAATTTCCCTTCATGTTTATAATGACCTTATGCCAATAGAACAAATAATCCCTGCTTCATTAATTTTTGACCATTGTATATTCAAGTCTCATGTTCCAGGCTAGTGAAGTAGGAGCTGCTGTAAAAAGGTAGGGAGCCAGCAAAGTTTATTGAGGAGGGATTTCATTCAGAAGGAATGAGCTGACAGATGAATGGGATGGTGTTCTGAGACAAAGAGGTGTCGGGATGATTCCAGACTTGGGAAATAGGCAAACTCAACTGTTTGAGTGACAAATGACATTGAAAATTATAATTTCTTATGTTTTTCTCTAGAAACTGAAAATGGTCATATGACTAATTAATAGAGATCTCTAACCATGATTTTTTAAAATTTCTAATCTTCCTATTTTATAAAATATAATTATATTTGGTATCTTTAAAGAATAAAGACCGTCAATAGAATATTGCTTACATGGAGAGTAAGGAATATGTGTTGAACGACAAAGCTGCAAGATATTTTTCGTGAATGTTGTTACTAACTAATCTCTCTCACTGAAGCGTATTGTTTCTATCCCTATTAGGAAGCTGCCTGTGGTCTGGAACTGAGACAAGTAACAATAATAGAATTGGTTGGAAATCCACCAAGAGTAATGGGACGTATAAAGGAACAGGAGCTTTCTTCAGAAATTGTTGATCAACTCAGGTAAAAGGCTAATATGAATTAACTTTCAAATGTGGGCTGAATTTATGATTTTGCTATAAACTGAAGTCAGCTTGGAGGTGAGGTAAGAGTGACTGTCGTTGACATCAATGTTGCATTTGAATGCTTGTGGCATCAAGGAGCCCTACCAAAACTGGAGTTAATGGGAATGAGGGGAGGGGGTGAGTTCTCTGCTGGTCGGAGTTATACCTGGCAAAGGAAGTTGGCCATTGTGGTTGGAGGTCAGTCCTCTCAGATCCAGGAAGTCTTTGCAGGAATTCCTCAAGATGGTATCCTTGGCACAACCATTTTCAACTACTTTATCAATGACCTTCCATCCAACATAATGTCAGAAGGAGGGATGTTCGCTGAAGACTGCACAATGTTCAGCACCATTCTTTAGTTCTCAGCTGCTGAAACAGTCCATGCCCAAATGCAACATGACCTGGATAATTTCGAGGCTTGGGATGATAAGTGGAATGTAACATTTGTGCCGGACAATTGCCAGGCAATGACCATCCCCAGCAAAATAGAATCTAACCATCACCCCTTGATGTTCAATGATATCCCTATTACTGAATTCCTCAACTTTTCAACATCCTGGGAGGGCCATTGACCAAAAACCGAACAGGACTAACCATATAAATATTGTGGCTGTAAGACCAGGTTAACGGCTAGGAATTTTGCAGTGAGTAACTCACCTCTTGACTCCCCACAGCCTGTCCGTTATCTACAAGGCATAAGTCAGGTATGTGATTTAATACTTCCTATTGGCCTGGATGGGTGCAGCTTCAACAAAACTGAAAAGGCTTTATACCTATATCAGCTCACTTCATTCGCACCACAACCACAAACATTCACTCCCTCTACCATTGATGCTCAGTAGTAGTAATATGCACTGCAGAATTTCACCGAGGCTCCTAACATCTTCCAAACCTATGATCACTACCATCTAGTGGGACAAGATACATGGGAACACCACTGTCTGCAAGTGCCCTTTCAAGTTATTCACCGTGCTGACTTGGAAGTATCTTAGTGTTCCTTTAGTGTCACTGGATCAAAATCCTGGAATCCCTTTCCTAACAACTTTGTGGGTCTACCTACACCAAATGGACTGCAATAGTTCAAGAAGACAGCTCACCACTACTTACTCAGGGCAACCAAGGATGGGCTACAAATGCTGACGCAGCCAGGGGCACCCACACCTTGTGAATGAATTTTTAAAATAAGTGCTGAGCTGAATGGTACAAATGAGGTACACTGCTTTCAGTACTCCTTTCTAAATCGATCTATTTGAGTGAATAAGGAACATAATGGAAGTTTTGATCATCAGGCTATTTGAAATAGAGTGTTTACTAAGTTTTCCCCTAATCCTAAATAGCAGGAAGCAGATTCTGGTTTCTTGTGGACATTTCTTGTCACCATACTCCATGAACTGAATTTTACTTGCCAACCAAGGTAGGAAAACAAGCAGGATCTGTAAATTAGGGAATTGTACCATTAGTAGCATACCCACTGCCAGTCCATCTATCCCACAATGATGTTGCAGATGATGAGGTGGTTGCCTGCCCATAACCCAGAGAGACTCTTAAGTGGGCAGTTAATGCCCAATTAAACACTTCATCTTGGCCTTGCTCTGACGTAAGGGGCAGTGAGGAAGTTCATGAAAGAAGGAATACCTCCTCCTCTGGACTCCAGTGTCAATTGGACAGCTCCCCAAATTCCCACATCCATCTGTCTCATTCAGCAGGCATCCTCCCCCATCGCACCTTACATCTATCAAAAGAAATGTTCATGTCAAAATGGCTTTGTGCAGGGGAGATCTTGTCTCAAATTTGGTTGCGTTTTGTGAAGAAGTGACAAAGGTGATCGATGAGATTAGGGCAGTGGATATTGCCTATATAGACTTTAAAGCATTTGACAAGTTCCCTCAAGGTAGGCTGGTCCAGAAGATTAAGCCACAAGGGATCCACACTGAGTTGATAAAGTGGATATAAAATTGACTTGGTCTTAGATGACAGGTGCTGTTTCTGGAGGGGTGTTCTTCAGACTGGGGGTCCGTGACCAGTGATGTGCTGCAAGGATTACTAATGTTGGGACCTCTGTTATTTATAATATATGTCAATGATTTGGATGAAAATGTAGATGGTTTGATTAGTAAGTTTGCAGATGACATGAAGGAGTGATAGGTATGTAAAGTAGTTCCATGTGTTAAGTATGAAAAGGGAGAAAATAAGTCCACTGTGGTAAGAGTGAAACGAACAAGATATGGGGGGGTTGGGGGCGGGGAGGTGTGTCGGGGAGAGAAAGAGATGTAAGAGAAATGGAGTACAGAGATTATAAAAACTGAAACAACCGCGGATGCAGTAAATCAGAAACAAAATAGAAATTGCTGGAGGGGCTCAGTGGGTCTGGCAGCATCTGTGGAGAAAGGTCAGAGTTGACGTTTGACCCTTCCTTGGAACTCGGTGGGGGAGGGAGGGGTGTTGACATTGGACCCAGGGCGTTGCCTATGGTTTCTTTCCACAGATGCTGCCACATATGCTTAGCTTTTCCAGCAATTTCTATTTTCTTTTACAGGCTTATACTCTGAAGTTGTGGAACTCCAATTTTGAGTCCTTGAGGTTGTAAAGTGCCTCAGTGGTAAAGGAATTGTTGTGCCTCCGGCTTGTGTTGACCTTTATTGTAATACTGTAGCTAGCCAAAGATGGAAATGTCAACATATGAGCGAGGTGGTTATTGAAGTGACAAGCCTCTAGAAAGTTGGGTTATAATCTGCAAAAGGAAAACACAAATACAGCAGCAAATCCAGTAGACTAAATTGAAAGGAGTACAAATAAAACACTGCTTCACTTGGAGTGTGTATTTTGGGCTTTGGATGGTAAGGATTTGAATGGGCAGGTGTTGTACCTTCTGCAGTTGTATGGGCAGGTACTGTGGGGGTATGAGGGAGCGTTCAGAGTAATGGAAGAGTGGATCAGAGTGTCATGGAGAGAATTATTTCTACAGGATGCTGACAGTGAAGGGAAGGGGAAGATGCTTTTTTGTTGGTGGCTGGAGGTGGCAGAAATAGAGGAAGATGAACCTTTGAATGGAGAAACTAGTGGAGTGGAAAATGAGGGCATGGGAAATCCTAAAGTTGTATTGGGAGGAAGTGAAGTGGTGAGGGCAGAGATGCGAGAGATGTGTCAAACATAGTTAAATGTCTTATCTACCATGTTGGGGGGTGATTCTCACTTGGGTAAAGAGGGGGACTTGTCACAGGTACCCTGTTGGAAGGTGGCATCATTGGAACTGATAGGACAGGAATGGAGAAACTTGGTAAACAGAATTGAATCCTTGCTAGAAGTAGGATGTGAGGAAGTGTGGTCAAGGTAGCAGTGGGAGTCAGTGAGTTTGTAGTGTGTATTGGTGGATAGGCCATCTTCAGAAATGGAAACAGTGATGTCAAGGAAAGGAAGAGCTGGAGACGGACCAGGTGAAGGTGAGAGACAGATGGAAATTGGAAGCTAAATTCATGAACTTTTACAAATCTGGATGAGAGGAGGAGGATGGATTAAAGAAAGAGATGTGGGTAGGGGCCAGGTAGGACCAGAACAAATAATATTCTACATACCCCGCAAAACGATGAGCATATCTGGGACCCAAACTGATACCCTTAACCGTACATTTGACTTGGAGAAAGTTAGACCAGTTAAAGGAAAATTTGTCCAAAGTGAGAATAAGCTCAACTGGATGAAGGAAGGTGTCAGTGCATTTGAACTATTCAGGCTTGTCTTCAAGCAAAAGCAGAGAGTCTTCAGGTGATCCTGATGGGGAACGGATGTGCAAAGAGATTGCACATCGACAGTGAAGAGAACGAAGCTAGGGCCAGAAACTGGAAATTGTGAAACCAATATAAAGTGTCAGAAGAATCACAAATGTAAGTAGAAAGTGACTGGATGAGACTGGGGAAGAGGTGGGACTTGTATTTCGAATCAAGTTGGGAGAAATATGTTCATGTGGGGCCAGGACAGTTTGAAATGATGGGTTTGCCAGTGCAGTCCCTTTTGGATTTTGTGATGGAGGTAGACAAGGGCTGTGTGTTATTGGGGGATTATGAGGTGGGAACTTGTGGTCAGTGACAGTCCTAGAAATAACCATTTGATGTTCTGTGGTAGGTTAATGATCCAGGGGAGATTGGAGGAAGTATTTGACAGTGCCAACTCAGCACCTGCAGGGTAATGGTCAGCATACCAGGCAATAATAGCTCTAGTAGCAGGTTTGATAACAAAGTCAAGGTTAGACCAGAGAGAATAGAGTGTAGCAGTCCGAAGGGAGATTCATTAGAGTGGGCGAGTGAGCAAGGAAATTAAGGCAACTGATGTGATGTCACGAGTTCTTGAAGACATAAAATGCAACTAAAAGGCTAGAAGCAGGAGTCCAGGTGGAGGGGGAGTATTGAAGATGGGTGAAAAGATCCGTAGAGCTGAGAGCAGACTTCTGTCTGAATGTGAATATAGGAGGTATGGTTAGTAAGTTAGCTTATGTAACCAAAATTGGAGGTGTAGTGGACAGCAAAGAAGCTTACCTCAGAGTAAAATGGGACCTTGATCAGATGGGCCAAGGAATGGCAGATGGTGTTTAATTTTTAGATAAATGAGAAGTGCTGCATTGTGGAAAGGCAAATCAGGACAGCACTTATATGTTTAATGGTAAAGTCCTGTGGAGTGTTGCTGAACAAAGAGGCCTTGGAGTGCAAGTTCATAGTTCCTTAAAGTGGAGTCCCACCTAAATAGGATAGTGAAGATGGGGTTTAGTATGCTTGCCTTTATTGGTCATTGCATTGAGCGTAGGAGTTGGGAGGTCATGTTGTGGCTGTACAGGACATTGATTAGGCCACTTTTGGAATACTGAGTGCATTTCTGGTCTCCCTACTATAGGAAGGATATTGTGAAACTTGGAAGGGTTCAAAAAAGATTTACAAGGATATTAGATAACAAGGTGCAGAGCTGGATGAACACAGCAGGCCAAGCAGCATCAGAGGAGCAGGATAGCTGATGTTTCGGGCCTAGACCATTCTTCAGAAATGGGATATTTCCAGGGTTGGAGGATTTGAGCTATAGGGAGAAGCTGAACAGGTTGAGGCTATTTTTCCACGACCATCAGAGCTGAGAGCTGACCTTATAGAAGTTTATACAATCTTGAGGGGCATGGATAGTGTGAATAGCCAAGGTCTTTTCCCTGGGGTGGGGGAGTCCAAAACTAGAGGGCATAGGTTTAAGATGAGGGGGGAAATACTTAAAAGGGACTTAAGGGGCAACTTTTTCATGCAGAGGGTGGTGTGAGTATGGAATGAGCTGCCAGAGGAAGTTGTGGAGGCTGGTACAATTACAGCATTTAAAGAAGTCATCTGGATAGGTATATGAAAAGGAAGGGTTAAGAAGGATATGGGCCAAATGCTGGCGAATGAGACTAGATTAATTTAGGATATCTGTTCAGCATGGACAAGTTAGACTAAAGGGTCTGTTTCCATGCTGTACAGCTTTATGACTCTGAAAATTGACAAAGTTGTAAATAGTGAAGAAGGTCATTAAATGATGCAGCAGGATATAGATCCATTGGAAATGTGTCTGGAGAAATGACAGATGAGTTTAATCTGCACAAGTGTGTGATGTATTTTGGAAGGCTAGATGCAAGAGGAAAATGTAAGTAAATGGCAGCACCCTTAGGAGCATTGATATATAGTGGGATCATGCGGTGCGTGCCAACAGTGGTAAAGAAGGCATATGGCATGCTTGAGTATAATTATTGGCATGCCATGCCATTGTATATAAAGCTCTAACTAGGTCACATTGGGAGTATTGTATGCAGTTCTAGTCACCACACTGTAGGTAGGATGTGGAGACTTTGGAGAATGTGCAAAAGAGGTTTACTGGGATGTTCCCTGGATTGGACTGCCTTAGCTGTAAGGAGATGGTGGGTAATCTTGGTTTGTTTTTACCAGAATGTCAGAGGCTGAGGGGGGTGACCTGATGAAAGAATAAAAAGATTACGAGAAACGTGCACAGATTGTTGGAGTCTTTTTCCCAGGGTGGAAACATCAACTACCAGGGGGCATAGGTTTAAGGTATGAGGGGAAAAGTTCAAAGGAGATGTGCGAGGCAAGTTTTTAACAAAGAGGGTGGTAGATGCCTGGGACACTCTGCCAGGGGAAGTGGTAGAAGCAGATACAGTTACAACTTTTAAGAGGCTTTTGGACTGACACATGAACAGATAGGGAATAGAGGGATACAGACCATATACAGGCAGACAGGATTAGTTTAGAATGGCATCATGGTCAGTATGGGCATGATGGGCCGAAGAACCTGTTCTATGCTGTACTGTTCTATGTTACATGTTCCATTGTTAATACTACCATCAACCCTTCTTGCAGTACCAGCAGCTGCCACTGCCTCTGCTTGGCGCTGTTGGTCTTCAATTGCCTGGGAGCTCTGAGACACGTCTTCCTCCTAGAGGTGGAAGGGCAAACTGACTAACCAGAGGTACACTCACCACTTAAACTTGGTGTGGTGTGAGATGCACACCCTTGATGTAAAAGAATAATTTGAGGCTTGTTGGTAGAAAAGGTTTTATTAGATTTTTTTGATGATGCATACTGACTTGTACTAGTGGGCAGCTGGAGCCAGATGTGAAATGGCTGGATTTTCGGCTGATATTGTTGGTACAAGCTGCTGAGAGATTGGTTGACAGCAAAATATAAAACCTCAGCTTACCTAATTGAGTTTTACCTTACCTAATTGAAAGACTGTCAGATTTGTGTGGAATGAGGGTGTTGGAGTTAAAGCATTTGCAACATTATAGACTGAATTTTAACAGTTTTCTGGTGGGATGTGGGATCTGGGTGGAGAAGGGGGGAGTTGGCATTACTGCTTCCCACCCCCCACCCCCCACCCACCCCTCATACACCCCTCTCTCTCACACACACACACACACACCTGCATCCTCACACAACAGGGAGTATCGGGATACCAGATTACCATCTGAAGCAGTCCACCCTACAACAATCACACACTGTCAGTAGCCTTAAGTTGGTGAGTGTAGGACTTCAATCCATCAATGAGAGGAATTCCTTGAAAGCTGCCAGTAGATTTGACACTACTGAGACTGCAACTACGCCTTGGGATGAAGACAGCCATTGTGATTGGATCCAGGGAAGTCAAGGGTTTCAGATGGGAGGGATTGGATAGTCTAGGAGGGAGCAAGGAGTATAGGGGAAGGAGGCTTTGGTGGCCAAGCAGGGAGTGACAATGGCTGGGTAACATTTTGGGAGTGGGGTCGGGAAAGGTTTATTTCTGATGTGCACAAGGCACCCCGATATGTATCCAACTTCATCCTGCTTTTTAAAATGACTGGCACAAGAAGCAGGCCTATTTATTCCAGCCTGCCTTACTGTTAACAGCATGCACTGCGAGTCTTTAGGTGAATTGACTTATTACCCAGCTGAATTTCTCATTAGTTATATTTTTCCAGAAGTGGTTGGGTTACCAATTTTGGGGTGTACACTTCTACCCTATAATAGGAAGTGGGTTGAGGATGGTGGGAAGACAGTGGACTATCCACCAGTCATACTTTATGCGTTCTCTGAAAATACACCTAGTGGGACTTAAAATCCAGCTCTGTGAGAATTAACTCCATGGCACTCTGTCGAGTTTAATGTACTTTTGTTCCAGTGATTTCTGGGACTTTTAGTTGGAAGATGGAGTGGGGAGAAGAAGTCACTCTGGACCAGTGCCTACAATACGGAATGCCCATTCCACAGATGTAAATGAGTGCAATACTTAGGTACCTAACTTCTTTTCTGGAACCTGCTTGCTGGCCCCACCACAGAGCCACCCAGTGAAGCGTGATGCTTGCCTCAGGATCGAGCAACTGGATGGTCAGTCAGGGTCCCAAATGAAGGCCGAGGATCTAACAAAACATGGGATGCAATTCTAATCACACTCGGGTGTTGTAACATTTTGGGGCAGTACACAATTGCATGTCAGAGAACAATACAATTACTTGTAGCTACTGTTCAGGCATGAAGATGAATCAAGAGACAGAAGTATGACCGAGAGATTTGAGAAAGAAAAATGTACATTGATAGGTAAAATATTTTGCAGTATGTTATTTTTCATATTAGTTGATATCTTTGCATGAATAACACTTATATTCTGCTTATGAATTATGAAAGTAGTTTTGCAACCTTAGTAACCTTTACTTCTTTTCTGGTTCCTTTCGCAGGCAAGTCTATTACTTATCCAGTATGCACTTTAACGCTGTCCTGGTTGACAAATATGGTACAGACAGAGAGCGTTACATTCAACCAGTTGCATCCAGTGAGCTGTTTCCATTCATAGACATTTACTTACTCCAGAAGGAGGAAAAAACTATTCTGGAGCAAAGAGAAAATTTCTGTAACTAAAACTCAAACTTGACAAACGTTTTATATATTTTTTACCATCAACAAAGTGTATTCATACAGCGCTTGTGTAATAGTTTATTATCTTAAAACACTTCAGAGGACTGTTATCAAACAAAATTTGACACCAAGTGCCATAGGACATATTAATATAGATGACTAAAATCGTGGTCAAAGGGTGGAATTTTAATGAGCCTCTTAAAAGAGGGAAGAGAAGTGGGGAGTTTTATTGAAAAAGATTCTCCAAGCTTAGCATCTTGGTAGCTGAAGGCTGGTGTGCTAATAATGGAAGTATTAAAATTTTGGTGATGCTCGATGAAGTCAGATTGGAGCAATGCAGATGTCATGAAGATTGTAGCGCTGAGTCAACTTCCTCATCAAATTGCGTGACCTGAGTCTCAGTTGAGAGTTGATCTATAAAGATTCATCCTTTCCTCAACTTCTGAAAGGGCCATTTCTGTCATTCAACAATGAAAATACTTGTTTTTTTACATTCATAAAATGTACCAAAACTGATTTTCTATAATAGCAGATGCATTTCAAATATTTGCAGTAATGTAAATGTACAAAATCTTAGAATATTTTCTAAAACAAATGTATTTGGGAAACATGAGATAACCGTTTATCTGATCAAGCCTGTTTCACTTATTCATTCATGGGATATTGGCATTGGTGACCAGGCTAATATTTATTGCCCATTCCTAATTGCCCACAGGGCAGTTAAGAGTCAACCACATTGCTGTGGGTCTGGAGTCATATGTAGACCAGACCAGGTAAAGATGGCAGTTTACTTCTCTGAGGGGCATTAGTGAACCAAATAGGTTTTTCTGACAATTGCCAATGCTTTCATGATCATCATTAGACACTTAATTCAAGATTTTTTTAAATTGAACTCAAAATCCACTGTGCCATGACAGGATTTGAACTATTCAAAATCCTCAGAACTTGATCTGGGTCTCTGGATTAAGAGTTTATTGATAGTAACTCCCCTAAGCAACCTGATGAATGATTTGTAATTTATCCAACCATGGATATTCCCTAATTTATTCTTTCCCCTGAGAACCATGAAGAATCCCAAGGAAAGTGCCAGAGAAAATTTGAGCATATTTTTGACACTATTTTCGCTCAAAAACTCTCAAACATAATCTCCAGCCTATCAATTTAATATTTAAATCTACATTATCAAAAATTGCCAAGTTCCCAAAAAAATGACCAAAGTTTTCCTCAAAGTTATTGACTTGCATCATTCTTGTCTATTAATTCATTCACAGGATTGAACATTGCTCACATAACCAGAATGCATTTGCTCATTCTAATTGCCCTTAATGAAATGGCTTGCTATGCCATTTCAGAGGGCAGTTGGGATCAAACATATTGCAGTGGATTTGATGTCATATTTAGACAAGACAGGTAAGGTTTCCTTCTGAAAAGGACATTGGTGAACAAAATGGTTGTTAAATAATCCAGTACATGTTCACCAATAATGGCACTATCTTATAATTTCACATTTATTTTTATTAACAGAATTTAAATTTTCTAGCTGCTGTGGTGGGACTTGATCTCATGTCTCCAGATTGTTAATCCAGGCATCTATTGTTATTTGCCTAGTAACCCGAAAGCATGATGGTGGTTGAATAGTGTTTTTGCTAGCTATCCAAAAAATAGTTTCCAATGCAAATCAGTAAATAAACCACCTTATTCAAGTCAGGACATCCTGAGTTACTGAGTCTGGAGATTGTGAGTTGAATTACCAGTTGTCTTGCCTGGAGATATGATCCACACCTTTAAAGAACAGGAATCCTCAATGAATTATTGCGGCTCTTTGATAGGCAGCTCTTCAGCTGGAAGCTTCCAATTATGAGTCTATCTTAGAATGGCAGCATTAAGCTCTTCAGTGTGTCAGGTTAGCAGAGGCACTGAATAATTCCAACTGAGTCAGGACTTTTCCAAGCAGGAAGTAACTATTTTCAAGGTTTGTTTGAAAATTAAGAGCTAATTTATGGGAAGCATGTGCTTCTCTGAGAAAGATAGTAATTCATAATGCCTGTAAAGGAATTGTTTGTGTTGAATACTGATCATTCATCTGTTCTGTGTTAAATAAAATGCTCATGATTTCTAGCTGAAGTCTCAGTCTGAGTGTATTCAACCTCAGCAGCAAAGATAGAGAATAGCCACACATAGTACATTCCTGTGGGTGGAGTACAATGGAAATGGTTTTCTGATTAACCAGAATCTCACACCATCGTAACCTAGATATTCAGCAGATGAATACTGCCAAGTTCCTCCTCCCCCCCCAACTCATATGCCATCCTGACTTGGGAAATATATTGTAATTTGTTCGCTGGGTCAAAGATTTGCAGCTCCCTTCCTAACATCACTGTGGGTGAACCTATGCTACAAGGACTGCATCTGTTCAAGAAGATGTGGTCTTGTTTTTATTATACTTTCATGAGATTTGAGTATTGCTGGAAAGGAAGGCCAGCATTTATTGCTCATTTCTTACTGCGCTTTGGCTGGAATGTAAGGGCCTACTTGAACTGTTGCAGTGGACACAACTCGCAATGTTTTTACGCATTGAGTTCCAGGATTTTGATCCAGTGACAGTGAAGGAGCTCCAAGAGGGGAACTTGCACTCAATGGCCTGTGTCACCATTCTGTTTGCTGTCTTCAATCTTCTAGGTGTCAGAGGTTACAACTTAAGGAGGTACAGTTGAAGGAGCCCTTATAAGTGCATTATGTAAATGGTATACACTGCTACCCCTTTGCATCCATGGTGGAAGGAGTGAATGTTTAAGTTAGTGTTTGGGATACCAATCAAATGAGCTACTTTGTCTGAGATGGTGGTGAACTTTTTGAATGTTGTTGGAGCTACATTCTCCCAGGCAAGTAGAAAGTCTTCCATCTCACTTCTGATATGTGCCTTGTAGATGGTGGACAGGCTTTGAAGAACTGGAAGATGAGTTAGTCACTGCAGAATTCCCAGCTTCTGATCTGCTGTTACAGCCATAGTATTTACATGACTGATCAAATTATGATTCTGGTTAATGGTAACCTCCAGATGTTGATGGTGAGGGAATTTAATGATGTTATGTTATTGAATGTCAAGCTGAGATGGTCAAACTCTCTCTTATTGGAGATGGTAATTGCTTGGTGTTTGTGTGTTGCAAATGTCACTTGCCACTTATTAGCCAAAGCCTGAATTGTGTCTAGAGTGTGGAAGTATCACTATCTGAGAACCCTCAAATGGAAATGAATATTGTACAATCATCAGCAAAAATCCTCACTTTTAACCAAATGATGGAGAAAACATCATTGAAGGACGTCCCTAAGGTCCCTGAGGAATCCCTGCAATGATGTCCTGAGGCTAAAATAGTTTACCTCCAAACTCTATAATCATCTTCATTTATGTTAATTATGATTCCAACCAATGGACAGCTTTCCACTGATTTCCATTGACTTTGATTTTACTAGAATTCCTCAATGCCACTTTCATTCAAATGCTGCCTTGATTCCAAAGACAGACACCCTCATTTCACCTCTGGAGTTCAGCTATTTTATCCAGAGACCAGAGTTGTAAAGGGTTCAGGAGCTGCATAGTTTGGCTGAAGTCAAACTGGCATCAGTGAACCAGTTATTGGTAAGTGCTGCCTGATAAATTATTGACAAAACCTTCTATCAATTTACTGATAATTAAGAATAGACAGATAGAATGGTAATTGGCAGAATTGGATTTTCCTACTTTTGATGGGGACATACTTGGACAATTTCTCACATCATTAGGTATATGCCATTCTTGAAGCAGTATTGGAGCAGCTTGGCAAGAAACACTGCTAATTCTGGAACAAATTCAGCACAATATTGTAATCAGAATATTGTCAGGGCCCATAGCTGGTGTTACATCCAGTTTACCCACAATTTCTTGAGAAAGTGTGCAACGATGAGTGGAATCTAAGGTTCTAGATTCTTCAGGACAAGGCCAAGATGGTCATTTGATTTGAAAATATGGGCTGAGAATAGATGCAAATGTTTCATCTTTGTCTTTTGCACTGATTTTCTGAGCTCTCTATCATTGAGGATGGGGTTATTTGTGGGTAATCCTCTTCCAGCTAATTGCACACCAGACCAAGCAGGTCCTGGGAATCTCTACACTCAGCAGCAAGCGTATTCCATGATACAATATAAACTTGGTTTAGCTGTACATACAACATGGTGAGTAGTGATGCAGTTTTCATTTAGCTGCCACATACACCATGGTGACAGCAGTGGAGATCTGAGTCAGCTTTATGTCCCCTACCCATGTAGACAGCAATAGGGAAGAGCTGAACGTTTAAGAACCTTACAGAAGAAACCCTTATGGCAAGATTGAACAAGAATGTCTAATCAACACTAAGCACCTCTGACCTGGTAAGAATTGCTTTGGAGCAGAAGTGATTGGAACTCCTGGAGAAGGAAGATGGTTGTGATTGTTGAAGGTCAGTCATCTCAGCTCCAGGATGTCACTGCAGGAGTTCCTCAGGTCAGTGTCCTTGGCCCAACCATCTTCAGCTGCAACATCAGTGACCTTCCCTCCATCATCAGGGCAAAATTTTGGATGTTCACTGATGATTTCATAATGCTCAATAGCACTGGAGACTCCTCTGATACTGAAGCAGCCTGAATACAGATGTAGCAAGACCTGTACAACATCCAGGCTTGGGTTGCTAAGTGGCAAGAAACATTTCCACCCATTTCCCAGGCAATCACCATTTCTAATAAGAGAGAATACACTGTCTTCTCTAAGAGACTTTTATCCCTGTTTTCCCTGGTCTGTCAGATTTACTCTGGATATCACTAACCAGAGGCAGTCCCACTAACAGAATGCACCCAATTGTTCTTTATTGAAGCAAGGTACACTAAAATGTCCTGCAAAAATAATAATACATGCTTATCCGTACAATTCTTATATTTGCACGTGAACCAGGTTTACATCAACTTGTCCAAGGATCAGCCTGCCCTGTCTCAACCTCCAGCCACTGATTTGTAGACACACACGCATTCCTTCAGACACAGAAATATTAAGATCAGTAACCTTTCACATCACAAATCATAATCTGACCAATTAACTTTTCAATAGTGTAGACTTAATATATTTTACTTCTCATTTCATTTTAACAAGCTCAGCAAATTTTAGGTTGCAACTTACACCCTTGATATTCAAACGGCTTTGCCATCTTTAAATCCCCATTAGTATCAACATCCTGGATTATTATTGACCAGTAACAGAAATGGGCTAGCCATGTAGAAACTCGGAATTCTGCAGCAAGTAACTCACCTTGTGCCTCTCCAATGCTTATCTGTCATCTACAAGCCATAAGTCAGGAGCATAATAGAATACTCCCTACTTTTCTGGATGAGTACTGCTACAATAACACATAAGAAGCTTGACTCAATCCAGGTCAAAGCCACCTGCTTGCTTATCACCCAATCTCTCATCTTCAGTATTTACCCTCTCCATTACTGATGCACACAGACTGCAGTATGTACCATTTACAAGATGTACTGCAGTTACTTACAAAGGCTTCTCCAATAGCACATCCCCAACCTGTGACTTCAACAACCTAGAAAGATGAGGGCAGTAGATGCATGAAAACACTGCCACCTCCAAGCCAGTCACCATCCTGATTTTTTTTTATTCATGTATTTTGTCTTTTACAGTGGGAAATGTTTTGCCATTTTTTCACTGTTTGTGGGTTAAAATCCTGGAACTCCCTTTACAAGATTGTGGATATCCCTTTAATCCAAGGACTGGAGCAGTTCAAGAAGGCAGCTTGCCACCACTTTCCCAAGTGCTATTGGAAATTGGCAATAAATATTGTCTTAGCCGGTGACTCTGATATCCCATGTACAAAGTCAGAAAATAATCAGTCCTATAAACACAAGAAGGCAAATAGCTACCCACAAATAGGTTAATCAGGTAGATCAATCTGTATGGGAAGAGAAACCTAAAGTATTTCTAGGGGAAATAGGTGATCCATGACTTACATTTTGGCAAGTTGATATTAATGTTAGTGGTAATCTCATGAATTTCCAGGGCAAATGTTATTAGATAGCATGGCTAAAAAGACACTCTCTACAGCCACGAACAGTTACAACTACATGGTCCAGGAGGCGTAGCACTTAAGATTAAAGGCATGCTTCAAGAAACTCTCAAATATGGGGCATGTAGGATAGTAGAAAACATTTACATAGTTCACAACCAACAATTCTGACTTTTGTGTAGAATATGTTTTGTTCTTCAAATGATGGAAGGGGTTAAAGACAAGGAAAAACAGGTCAAGGAACAGTCAGTTAATAATAATTAAGGAGCAATGGGTCAAAGGATAATCACTAAAACTTTTAATAGGTCTCTCTAGATTTATGACAGAACCCAAACAGAAAAATAGATCCATAGAAATTAGCGATGTTGGCATAAGCATAAAAAATTTTTGTGTCATCAACACACAGTCATGGAGAAGAACAGCACGGAAACAGATCCAACTCGTCCATGCCAACCAGATACCCTAGATAGATCTAGTCCCATTTGCCAGCATTTGGGCCATATTCCTCTAAACCCTTCCAATTCATATACCCATCCAGATGCCTTTTAAATGTTGTAATTGTACTGGCCTTCACCACTTCATGTTGGGTGGAAATAGCTTGGTAACATTTTCTTTCTATTAACACTGAAGAGTCGCTGCAAAAATCAGCAAGGTTTATAAGGAAATGCAAACAATGACGTAGCCAACGAACAGCATATCATGCTTGAGTTAGTTGCTGAATGATGCAACACAACTTGGTGAACAAATAGTTGTGACAGATTTAAGTTTTTTGCTGAAGAGACTCAGAAGAGGCAGATTCAAAGAAATGTTTCATTTCCTTATCTCCCCAGGAAGAACCCTCAGTAACAGTGACATAGATTATCCAAACAAGGTGCAATTCTTAATAGGACAACTGAGGATGCAATGATGCAATGACTGAAGGTGAATGTGAACATGTAAACCAATCAACAAGTGAAGCATGGATCCTGTACAGTTCAGCAGGTATCTACAGGTAGATTCAGAATAAAGATCTGGTGACACAGATTGAAGATATGGTGCATCCAACTCCATGGAAACCACAATTGCCTGTTTTAGAGATTCAGGTTACTGCAAAGAAGTAATTACCTGTTTCAGCACAAAGATCATCCTCCTGAAGAAAATCTAAGATTATAGCTTCTCCAGTTTAATAGGGCCTACAGACCTTAGACTGTCAGGAACAGACTCAGACAACAATCTTCTAAGTAGAAAACTAGAAGTCCAAAGTGAATACCTGCTTGAAATTAATGAAACCTCCAGCTCACTCTTGTGAGTGACTTTGTAAACTAAGAGACAGGGCAATAGTAAATGTTATTATTTACATAGATTTATTATAATAACTGGGAAAGAAAGGCTTAGGGGAAGATGTTGTAAATGGATCTGAAAACGTTAATACTGAGAAGTGCTGTAATCACCACTTGCTGTGATGGTAGCATGTGAGACTTGTGGGGAGAACAGCTTTCGATTTTAGAGGAGTAAGACCCAGCATCCAGGTCCTCCTTATTGACCCTGTAACAGTGTCTATTATATCACTGCAAGTTGTAACCAACTAGCTGCTAACATGTAATAAACTACTTCTTGTTCAATACAACTGATTTTCTAATTAGACCATTGTTATTTTCCTTTAGAACATAGAACAGTACAGCACAGTACAGGCCCTTCGGCCCACAATGTTGTGCCGAACTTTTACCCTAAACCTAAGGTCTATCTAACCTCCACCCCTACCTTATACTATCATCCATATGCTTATCTAATTGCCGCTTAAATGCCCCAAATAAGGCCGACTCCACTACCCTCTCCGGCAATGCATTCTACACCCCTACAACTCTTTGAGTAAAGAGCCCTATATCTACCTCCACTCACTTTAAAGCTATGCCCCCTTGTAATAGCTACCTCCACCCTAGGAAAAAGTCTCTGGCTGTCCACTCTATCCATACCTGTGATCATTTTGTACACCTCTATCACACTTTGTCACACTTGACCAAGCAGGTTCTATAGGTCTTACAGTTAGAGGATGGTGACAGCCCAATCTACAATTTCTTTCTATTAACACTGAAGAGTCGCTGCAAAAATCAACAAGGTTTATAAGGAAATGCAAACAATGACCACCTGTTGAGGTGCTAACTCAGTTTAGCTGTACATACAACAGCCAACAGCTCGATAGAATGGGATTTCTTCTCAGATGCACTTAGGAGTTTCACTGTGAGACAATGAAGGTTGCTACCTGTTACTATTATATGCTTACTATCGCTGTATCAGATGGACAGGCTGACAATTTACTTTTTCGTTGTGTTTATCTCCTGACAAGAAGTAAAAAGCACAGAACAGCTCAGAGAACTTTATTGTACTCGTGATGGGTGACCATTTAAACAGTGGAAGGACATCTACATTTAACAGAGCTACCCACTTTAGTTAATGTGGGACTGAACTTACTGGAAACACATTTGAGCATTGTGGTGCCAGGTATTGTTGAAATATTTATTTGCAGAAGTCAAGTGACATAGCAGTAACATTTTGACCAGTGCTTGTGTTAAATCTGTAATTGTGCACTGTAGCACTTGGAAGAAATTGAAATGTAAAGGTTTCAGCAATGAATACTATAGCTTGGGAATAAAACTATTTCTTCATTCTGTAATACTATGACAATCAGTGACATCAATGAATAAAATAATTCAGTTATACATTTAGAAACTTCCATATTTATTACGGACAATGTAAAAAAAATTATCTATTTATTTCAATTTTTTTTTGTACCACAGGTACAAAATCTTCCAGTGGTTACTTCCACTGACTACAGAGTATTTAATTGTTCATACAATTGAACTGCTTCACACTGAGAAGGAAAATACAGGAAAACATGTATGGTGATGATGGATAAGGACAGAGTTGGATTACATCAAACAGGTCTGTGGTTCCTCCTTGTTCAACAGCTTATTCATAATCATTGCCTAGACCCAATAAGAATGGTCAGGTGCTCTTAATACTCTTCAGGAAAGGGGTGAAGAGGAAAATGGAACCCATCATGTGATTGTTTAACAGATATTGGAGTTCATAATGGCACATTCAAGTGAAAATGCGAATAATACATAAATTGTTTCAGTAGTATCTGTATGTTACAACTTGTTCTCGTTTTCATCATTTATGAAGACAGCATTATCATAGGCAGTTGTCACTTCTGAATGCTGAAATGTGTTACGTTCTGTTTCATCCTGGTTGAAGCTGTCATTAATTTGGCCCTTTAGATGTTTCTTCTTCACTTCTTCGAACAACTGCAAGACCTTCAGTCAAAATGTAAATAAAATTAATAAGTTGACCCAAAACACACAGTTTGAACGTTTGGGGCTGAAATGATGGGCTGGAATTTCCAAGAGTGGCAATCTCACGAATATCGCCACTTAAAACTTTTTCTTTTTTACAAATGAAGGGAGCTCAGCATTTCTGAGCAGAGATCACACTCAGGGCTCCCTCACAAATGCAGACATCCTTGATTTTTATCGTTGTTTCGTAGAGTAGAACTCTCAGAGGAAGGCGAACATGCCCCGTTTACACAGCAGTCAGCTACTGTGATCTGAAAATTGAAGGCCTTGACAGCTGTTATCAAAGGCTAAGTACATAAGCTACATATACTGGGAAGGTAGGTTGCCAGATGGTTGGGGTAGAGTGCCAAGTACATAGGGTGCCAGGTGGGTAGGATGCCAGCTAAGGATGAGGTAGGGTGCCAAATGTAGGAAACCACATGAGCAGGAGGAATATGGTGCCAGTTTAATAGAGTGCCAGGTAAGGAATGTTCAAGCTGGGTAGGGTGTCAACTGGTTAAGGGGTAAAGTTCCAGAGTTGGGATGCCAGATGAGGTGGGGCTAAGGTGCCAGAAGGGATGGGGCTAGGGTGCCAGCTAGGAAAGGGGAACGGTGTCAGGTGAGTGTTGTGCCAATGGGAAGGTGGTACAATGTCAAGTCAGTAAAGAGCTTGAATGTAATGTGGTAATTGAAGTGATCCAGTATTTCGCATAGGCAGGGGTGGGAGGGGGAAATCGAGTCTGGCAGGATGTGGGGAGGAGAGGTGACACGATTGCATCTGGACAGTTTGTTCCAGCAGCGGTGGGGTGGACAGGTGGGGCAGGGAAGGGGGACTGTGTTGAGTGGGGTGGATTCTAGTGGGGTAGTGGAGGTGCAAGTAGAGGGGTCAGCTTGTCAGGTCCAGCAGTATCCATTTTGAAGGGAATCAGGTTGGCTTTACTGGGGATGGGAGACAGAGAGAATGTCAGCTCCCTGGTGAGGGGGTTTTGGACTCAGGGTCTGATGGGTGTCAATGTTCCGGGGGGAATGTGCTTGAAGGTGTTTGAGGTGAGTATGGGGCCTGATGAATAGTTATCCAAGAGTTAGGCAATGTATTTTATTATCTAACTTTCCACAGTAACAATTTTATTTAATTTCATTGAATCGCTTTGAATCCGTGGATTTAAATGGAGCCTTTCAGAGGGTTCCAAGGCCAAAGGCCAATTTCAATGTTAAGGAAATTAGCTAGGAAGAATCGCTGGAGGACATTTCTACTTTTTAACCACCAGCAGACACATCTGGGGATGATCTTAAGATAAGAAGTAACATGGGACAAGTAAACCTAGAAAATTACATTGAACTATGAAAATAGGACATTCAGATTAGTAAGAAACAAATATTGTACAGTTATTCAGAAGTTCTTCAGATTGATTGATTGTTGAATACATGGAATAGAATGATGTGAGTGAATCCTTGGAAGCATTTAATAATCAATTTGGTAGTAAAGTATGGTGTGATTTTGGGTTGGGGCTAAGAAAGGGAGGTTAACTTGAGCGTCTTTCTGGATGTATAAGTTAAATGGAGTCAAATGTGTTCTTCATCTGTAATTAATTTGTAAACCTTTCAGATTTATTGTTAAACAAATCCCCATTTTAGGACAGTCACTTAAAAGCAGATTTCAGAACAAATGCATTACATCAATGCAGCAGATAGTATTCATAAATCATACCTGTGATTTGGGCACAAGACCGACTCTAAAGAAACCCAGTGTCCCTGTCTCTATCTTGGTGCAATCCACAACTGTAGAGGCAATGTTTTCTGGTGAAGGACCATCACACAATACAGCATCAACCTGTACCAGGGATACACAACTTCTTTGAGTAAGAGCTGTCATTTTAAAAGTCAATTATTTTCAGAAGTCAAAGAATAAATTGTAACCAGATAGGACCTTGTTGCCGAGTTTGGCATAGACTTGATTGTGGTGAGTGGTGTCTGCTTCTCCAGTTGGGTTTGCTGATGTCACTGCTATAGGCCCCACCTGCACATTCAGAAAGAAATGAGTGAGGACATCAATCAGTGGAAGCCCCTATGCTTAATCCCTGTTCTGTGCTGATTTCAGAGTCCACAGGCAAGAAAGAGGGAGAATAAACTCAGAAATAAGTATGCGGTGCCATCAATGACATGCTTGCCTCCTGCTTGCTCACACCATTATTGTATGAGTGCAAAGCATCTCTTTAAGTGTGCAATTAATTCTTTTAGCAATTAGATCTAATAGACTAATATAAACTTCAAAGACACTGTGTAGGCTAATAACTGGATTCAGCTATGACTTTCCAATATTTAGTAATCACACTCTGTTATCCATTAGTTTGTGTGTTGCTTACTAAGAGGTGCATAGTACCTCCTTTTATTTTATCTGACTGACTTTGATATATGACATAGTGTCATAACAGATTTGTCTTGTGTTAATACAGTTCAAATCAGACAGCTCAATAGCATTTCAGTGAAAATTGAAAGCCATTTGAAAATGGCCCCAATAATTAGTGCTAACTGTGCTTTCTCTTCACAGATGCTGCCAGACCTGCTGAGTTTTTCCAGTAATTTCTGTTTCTGATTTCCAGCATCCACACTTCTTTCGATTTTTTTGATTAATGAGACTAGAGCTACCCATTGTTTCATGGTCAGGAACATCCCCATTGAAACAAGCATAGAAATTCTGTAAGAGTTGTCAATGAATGTGGGCAGCACTTAAAGTCAATAAAGAAATTCAAAATAACACAATCATAGCTTGTATATTCAACACAAAAGCTATTGGGACAGGTAGGAATCTTACCTGATCAATGAGATGTGTAGTAACAGTACAGTCTGGAATTCTTATGGCAATGCTCTGAGGAGTTCCAATGTATTTTTCTGCATGTTGCAGTCCAAATAAGTTCAACCACTCTCCTTTTTAATGATAAGAATATTTGTTAATACTGTAGTTACTTTGCCACATTTCTTTAACTTACATTGTGACAAAACACTCTGTGTTGCAATATTGAGTATTCCCGAGTTTAGAATATGAATTATAATCACGAATCTGTGATATATATTTGAAATGTTTTAGTTCTAATCTTGGCAGACAGGATAATTTTTAACAGAGGTGAGACTCCTTAGCAAACTGAGACAGTAAACACAGCTAGTGAGTCCCCTTTGACTGCTTAAAATTCCAAAAAGCTGGCTAAACAGCAATATTAGGAGAGAACAGATTTCTCAAATGCCACTGGGGCAGCAAAAGAACAGAGTTAATGAGGCAAATTATTAAGTGAAGATGAGAGGACATGCAACGTGGCAAAGGAGTCTTACCTCTGGGGATGACAAGACTGATAGATGAAGGCCAAACTTTCTGCATGAGGTCCCAGAGTAGAGGACTCAACAGATGTTTTGCTGGTTCTAGTTGGGTGACATTGGAGATCCATAAAGACATTGGCCTCTCTTTGGCTTGTTTCTTTGTACTATGAAGATAATAAAAAAAAGGAAGTAAAATTTCTCACCAAATGTGTGTCTGTCGATACCATTCTTATAATTTTCAAAATGTTAACAAGCTGCAGCTACTTGTATTTGGGGTATGTCATTTAATTCAGTAAAATTTAGTAAAGTTAATCAAGTAAATAGAAAACTGGATTTCTTGTACATGTTTTTATTAATCTGCAGAATGTTGTTACTTTGCGTTTTACATCTTACGCCAAATGAATTCAAATTTCATAAATCTGTCATGTGAAAGTGGAGTTCTGTTCTCCAATTTTACAGATAAATCAATATTGACCTAATGAGCAATGAGATTTGCAGCAATGTCCCCACGTAATATGTTGACAAACAAATCTATACTATATTTGCTCCAGTTGAATTTTCATGCTTCTAATCTTAGCATTCATAAGCAGCAAATCATCCCAGCTGTTTTCTGTTTCCAAATATAGTATGTGTGTTTTGCAAGATACATTACTGTAATGATTTTTCCTCAAAAACTGAAACCTCTAATGCTCTTCAAAAGAAGACAGAGCGTCCAAAGCAAAAATATTCATACTTGTAAGCCTTTTCAACAGCATCGGGACAGTTGCAAGCCGCCACCAACACATACACAGTGTCTGTAGGAATACCACACGTGCCACCATTTCTCATTATCTCTGCAGAAAAAAAAGTGATGTTTTTATTATTTAAATCTGGAAAGCATTAAGTTTTAAAAATAGTGACTTCCAGAGATTTTGTTTTCTGGAATATGCAACTGTAGGGTTACAAGGGGAATTGACAAGGTTAATCCTGATAATTCATTACTTGTTGAAAGCACGTGAAAACTTATGAAGCTGAGAATGAATGGAAATCAGACAAAGTATGAGCCAGTAGGACTCAACTGAAATATCTACTTAATTCTATTTGCTTGTCCTTTCCTCATATTCTCCCTTTTCAGATATGTATTTATTATCTTTTAAATGTAAAGGTATACCAAATACACTTCATATACCAACACTGGAAAAGAATGATCCAACATCCCCCTTCATTCTTCTTATGATGGCCTGAGCCAATGTTTCTTGATTATCAATTGACAATACTGCCTGTCTCAAAACCAGTTCAAATGTTGAAAAACTTTATTACAACCGCCTCTTAACCCATTTTTTGCAGTGGAATAAGCCCTCATTTTCAACATTTTCTTCACACTAAACCTTATAATTCTAATAAACGTTTATTGTTCCCTTTCAATTACTATTGTGTTCCCTATGATGAGTGCATATAACTGCATGGATTACTTTAGTTGTGACCTAAACATTATTTTGTAGAGATGTAACATTACTTGCCTGCTTCTATATTCCATATCCAATATATAAAACCTAGCCCTTAGGTAACCTTTCTGTGACTTTTCTATCTTTTCTCCTACCTTTACAGATCTATATATCTACACATTGAGTTGTCTTTGTTCCTTCACTTTTTAGCAATTAACCATCTAGGGCATTTCTGTTTTACTGTTCTCTCCCAAAATGAACTGTTTCATATTCCACACCCACAATAACATCTATCTCATATATTTCTGTCCTTTTAACCTATTTGCATTTCTGTGCCATTGGCATCATTAACAAATGCAAATTCCATTTATCTCTATGTTCAAGCCATTTGTACAGAAGTTAATTGACCTGTAGAATGAGATGTAAAGGAAAGTTATGAAGCAGACATAGTGTGAGTATGTTCGAGAGACAAAAGAGTACCTTTATGGATGGTGTTTTTATTGTTCCTACTAACTTTTGCGTTACTATGTTTCTATTTTGCATCCATTTCAAACACATCAGAAAACACAGCAAATGTAAAGCAGTTTTAAGGCTAACAGTCTGGTAGTTGAGTGAACATAATTATTACAGGAAACAACCACCTGCATTAGCAATTATATTTCATGGAAAAAAGTAATGTTGTAGATTGGTTAATTGATACAAATACAATAATGATTTGATTGAATTTGTACTTAACATTTTTCTTGTATTTTTAAGAACCTTACCTGCAATTTTTCTGACTGAGCTGGTTTTTCTGGAAGACAAATGAGGACATATGGAGTTGCTCTGTCCAAATCCACAGAGGCTGGCCCAGGCATGTCCCAAGGGCAACTGGGGTCTCTCAAAGCTCTGGTTAAACAGGGTGGCCAGAAAGCAGTAAAAACTAACTAAACCAAAAATGATGGTGACCCCAATATCATATCCAAAAGGATTTGAATTAACGGCATCCAAAAGAAAACTGATCAGAATCAGCTGAAAGCTGAGAGTAAAGGCAAACCATGCTGCATTAAGAAAGAAAGTCCCTATCACCACAAAGCCATTAAAAAGCAAGAAACAAATAATTCCTACTGCAATACCAAACCCCCTAGTAGACCCATAGAGACCACCATATCGGGTCAATCCCCAGATTATCCATATTAAGCCATACAAGATGAAAGCACAACTTTCCAGGGTTTTACCCCGAGAAAAAGAGATTGAACCACACAGAAGCTGAAGAACTCCCCCAGGAATGATAATCCAGGGTAGGACAACAGTGGCTAATGGTGCAGAAGTATTGACTGATGCAGTGATAGCAAAAGCAGCTACAACATTACAAGCATGGGCTAAAATTTCAGCATCTGAGTATTTGGAATATCCCAAATAAGGGTTTTGGGTGTCTTTATCTGACTTTGGTGTTAATGTATTCATCCTAATGAGAAAACCCTTTATGATCCCCTTTCCAGTGGGAATAGTAATGAATCCAATACTATTGAAAAGGGAAATGAAAACTAAGCAAGCAGATGCCACAAATATAGCTACACTGACACCTTGTGCACCACCATGAAAGAAACCAGTTGAGTTAGATGCCACTGATATACAATAGGAAACAAAAAAAAGTAAATAAATTCCATCAACAAGACTTTTACCAGTCATAAACAGAGCCAGAATGAAAAAGAGCACTGCAAGAACAATGGGAGCTGGAACTGGGAAGAAGGGTTGATCATCTTGCCAAAGCTTGAAAAGAAAAGCATAGCCTTCTGCAAATTTTAATATTGAGGTGAAACCAAAGAATGTAGCAATCAGACTGTCATTGGCTCTATAAGACAAAACACAAACAACAATTTGATAGACAGCTGCTGTCCATAGCCAGGGGACTTGGCCAACAAACAGCTTGGTAGTTACACCCAAAACCTGACATCCTAACACACTGGCAGATAGCATGTTTGTGATGTATCCTACAACAACTACATCATTTTTGATGGTTTCTGATTTCAGATAGGAATTAC